AAATAAACATCCGCAGTTACATACATCTAAGAATTGGAGGTGAAAACAAGATAGCAGGTATGCACCACAGTGTCCATAACTTCTCTATATACAAGTATTGAGGCTTTTTCACTTCCAGCAACTTGCTGGATGAGCCTGCTTTGGACAGCAATACCAGTTGCTTGAGCAGTGTTCCAGAAGATAATGAGTTACTACTCCCAATGTCCCTCTCCACTGTCCAGGCTGGCAGAAGCAGATGACAGATGTGGTCAAACAACATGAAGAGAGTATGATGAAATGAATAGATTGTTGGGAACTTTTCTGAATTCAGGAATTCCCATGATCATGGGAAGGAACCATAGAAGAAAGCATGAGCAAACGGAAAAATGGTCTGAACTTATTCTGTGAAGTGCCATGATGGCACTCTACTGCACACATACACATACACACAATAGTAGTAGTAATAATAGCAGCAGCAACAGGAACCATTACTTCAGCTGAACTCTCTTCAGACCATTGTAGGACCCCACAATCAAGGGCCATGGCAAACTGTAATCTGGTACACAAGTAGAACACAACTTCTATTAGCATTGATTCCATTGTATATCAAAGCAGCTTACCTACAGTTTGTACACTGATATTATTCAGCAGGTTTGCCCCCTTTCCCCCAAATCTGTCATTAACATTTGTTGGATTCTCCAAACTACTTGTGGAGACAGAGAACGAAGCATTTCACCATGCTGTTATGCTTCAGCTGACACACATTTCAATTCATTTTCAGCCATCTTTTCCAGCAACAGCAGCAGCAAACCAAAAGCTTTCATGGCCACCCATGACTTTGCTGTAGTGTTGTGCAGCTCCAGGGAAAGCCAAGGAACTGGGGGAAAGGGTTTCACTTGCCACCCTGCAGACAAACCCACTGGGGAAGGGAAGGCTGATAGGAAAGAAGAACAGCAGGGAGAAAGAGAGGGAGAGTCATCCAGAGAGCGCCCTGCCCTTCTGTGGCAGGCAAACAAGCATCCACACACATTCCTCCAGTAATGAGTCATATGACAATTGAAATCTTTTTGATTTACATATTTTGGCAAAGAAATAAGCAAATAGATGGAATCTGTTGTTAATTATTTTGAATGACACCAACACCATTGGATCGATACTATGAATCAGAGCCAGTTCGCAGGAAATGCATAGGAAATAAACATGATTTGGGATCTTAAACATTTTAAATCCAGAGAAAGGCAAGCTGACCTTGTGTCCCACTAAGTAGCCTAAATACCCTAAATATATTAGATACTGTCTGTTTATGGAAGCAAAGTAGGCTGTGTCCTGGTTAGTACTTTGATGGGAAACCACCAGTGAATACCAGGTGGGCTATGTTTAAGAGAAAGGAACAGGCAAAATCTGAATATTCCTTATCTATGTAAAGCCTATGAAAAATTCAGGGGGGTGACCATAATTTGGCAGATGACTTGAATAGACAGATAATATCCTATTGAAACATATGGGGAAAATCCATTATAGCAAACAGTAGATTAAATACCGAAGCAAGGTAAACTATCTCCAGATCATATTTTTAACCTGTTCCCAGAAGTATAATTTTCATTTGACACCATTTGTAATATACTGTGTAAGCACAAATAACATAAGTGCAACAAAATGTTGTGCTGTGCATTGATGCTGTTAATTGTTGTAGTCAATCATCTGTGTTCTGTTTACATATACAAGAGAAAAAAAATTGTTTCAATCCAGATTTTTCTCCCCTCCTGCAGAATCACAACAATCAAAATGTATACACAATGACTTATTTCAGGGTTGCCGCTCAAAAGGTGCTCTCTCCCATCTGCTATGTACATACATACATACATATATACATATATACATGTTGCTGTTGTTTATTCGTTCAGTTGCTTCCGACTCTTCGTGACTTCATGGATCAGCCCATGCCAGAGCTCCTTGTCGGCCATGGTCAGCCCCAGCTCCTTCAAGGTCAAGCCAGTCACTTCAGGGATACCATTTATCCATCTTGCCCTTGATCGACACCTCTTCCTTTTTCTTCCATTTTCCCCAGCATCATTGTCTTCTCCAAGCTTTCCCATCTTCTCATTATGTGGCCAAAGTACTTCATCTTTGCCTCTACTATCCTTCCCTCCAGTGAGCAGTTGGGCATGATTTCCTGGAGGATGGACTGGTTTGATCTTTCTGTGTTCCAAGGACTCTCAGAAATTTGCTCCAACACCACAGTTCAAAAGCATCTATCTTCCTTCGCTCAGCCTTCCTTATGGTCCAACTCTTGCATCCCTAGGTTACTATGGGGAATACAATGGCTTTAACTATGCAGATCTTCATTGCCAGTGTGATGTCTCTACTCTTCACTATTTTATCAAGATCGGTCATTGCTCTCCTCCCAAGAAGTTAACGTCTTCTGATTTCCTGGTAGCAGTCTGCATTTGCAGTAATCCTCGCACGTAGAAATACAAAGTCTGTCACTGTCTACACATTTTCTCCCTCTATTTGCTCGTTATCAATCAGTCTGGTTGTCTGAATATTGTTTTTTTTAATGTCTAACTGCATTCCAGCTTTTGCACTTTCTTCTTTCACCTTGGTTATAAGGCTCCTCAGCTCCTCCTTGCTTTCAGCCATCAAAGTGGTATCATCTGCATATCTAAGGTAGTTAATGTTTCTTCTAGAATTTTTTAACTCCAGCCTTGGATTCATCAAGCCCTGCACATCACATGATGTGTTCTGCATATAAGTTGAATAGTTCAGATGAGAGTATACAGCCCTGCTGTACTTCTTTCCCAATCTTGAACCAGTCTGTTGTTCCGTGGTCTGTTCTTACTGTTGCTACTTGGTCATTATACAGATTCCTCACATATATACATACAAGTATGTATACACATGACACACACATAATGCATATACAGATATACATATACTGTAGTTTTGTAAAACTTCCCACAGATTTTCCTTCATTTTTGTGGATGGTATGTCATTAAGTATGTAACAGCTCTCACTTACCTATGAACTTTCTAAATAGAAGGAATGATAGAGTGGCCACACGTACGTCCATGAAATATGGGAGAGAAAAGAGCGAGAGGCAGACAGAAATTCTCAGACTCCCAAGTTGGAAGCATTCATGAACCCTATAAAATAATTTTATATGTTTAATAATTTACTGTAAACATTATATCTAAAATATGATGCAAGAAATATAGTTATCTGAGAGTCACAGACATGTATATATAACAGTAATAGACCTTTTTTTGAGAATCCATTTAAAAATAAATTAAATTTGTTATATTCTCTCTTGCATCACCTCTTAGTTTCTTACTAAATTACACAAATAAAAAAGTGGAAATTTTCTTTGATTATTTTGCTAAATACATATTAGAATCTTTTAGTACATCATGTTTTTTTCAGGTGCCTGATTGTCAGCTTTATATTTCAAGAAGTGTTACTGGCAATTCAGGCACAGTAAAGTGTTTCTCTCTAGCAAGACTCTGGGTTCTATATAACTTTTATAGTCATTATAAAAATAATTTATTGAAAAACTTAAACCTTTTCCAACTCAACTGACTTTTGATTTAAATGTATGTGCTCCTGCTTATGGTAATCAGCAGTGCTGAATGCTTCTCTTCCTCTTATTCTTCTTCTTCCAGAATTGGATTTTGCCATTTATATTGCACATTTTGAAAGTATGGGGCTGCTTTTCCTGAGAAAAGAGTAGATGAACAGAAACAGAGAAATCTCATGCTATCATTCATCATTATACTCTGTGGGGCTGTTGTTTTTATGAGATAGTGGATGTGGGAGGCAGACCTCAAGTTTAGTGGTCAAATTCATATCTCTTTGGGTTCCAGTATGGCCCTCTGGAAATTCTTACATTAACACATACTATCACTCTGACAACATTTGATGATTTCGCTCCTTTTATTCTTTCCAATGTTAAAAGGTTTAACTGCCTCTGTGAAGACTGACAAAAAAGACTTATAAGCTTACAGACCTTATTTTGTCAGAATAAGACCTTATTTCGTCTTGAGTCTTTCTCTCCACTGGAACATAGCCATCAACAGTTTCTCTGAAGTTAAATAAGATATAGACAGATAAAATCTTCCTTCCAATACATTCACACACACACACACACACATATACATACACACTTGGGGATGTGTGTATGCATGCACATGTGTAAAACAGCATTGCAACTGGACTTTCTAGTTCCATGATCAATTAAGTTAGACATTTTCTAGTTACTATTTTATTTATCATGTCAGAAGCAAATTGAGGGTACAGTTATAATGTATTTTAAAACACAAAGTGTTTGGCATTATGCTAAATGTCCTTTGACCAGAAGCGAAGCTGGCCAGTTCGAGTGCCTCTGGTGTCACTGTGAGAAGGTCCGCCATTGTGCATCTGGCTCAGGTTACATTGTAGTAGGTGGTCTTCTCTGCACTCACATGTTGTGGACTCCACTTTGTAGTCCCATTTCTTAAGGTTAGCTCTGCATCTCATGGTGCCAGAGTGCAGCCTGTTTAGTGCCTTCCAGGTCACCCAATTTTCTGAGTGCCCAAAAGGAAGTCTCTCATCTGGTATCAGCCATTGATTGAGATTCCAGGTTTTAGCCTGCCACTTTACGACTCTTGCTTGCTGAGGTGTTCCTGCAAGTATCTCTGTAGATCTTAGAAAGCTATTTCTTGATTTAAGGATGGCTTGCTGGCTGATATTCATCAGAGGATGGACCAAAGATGTCAATGCTTTGTTCCTTTCATTGCTGGCTGCTACTTCACAACAGATGTCAGGTGGTGCAATACTGGCTAAACAGTATAGTAGTTTGTCCAGCGGGATTGGGTGTAGACATCTTGTGATAATGCAGCATGTCTCATTAAGAGCCATATTCTCTGTTTTAACATGGTGAGATGGA